GCCCCCCAATAACTTCATCGAGAGCTCCTTCTGGAACTTCGATTCTCTGTTCCAGCCCCAGCAGCACCCAGCTAGAGACCAGCACGACACCTTCTTCATCTCGGGTGAGGAATATCCACCTCTGTGCTTTCATCGACCTGCTACTCACTCTGCAGGAGTGTGCGCCACTTACGTTCAAAGCATAGTTTTCAAATAATATTTTGTGTATTTCACAGACCCAGCCCTTGCTCACGAGTTTCCTCAGGACTATTTGGAGAGAGTGAAGCAGGTTCATTCTGAAGGAGGTTACGGATCACAGGGGTAAGATGATCCACATTATATTCTATGTATGCTATTTGTTTTTAAATTAGTCAGCAAGGTTGCATTAAAATGATCAAAAGTGACAGTAAAGACAATTATAATGTTATAAAAGATTTCGGTTGCAAATAAATGTTCGTTTGAAATTTATTTTCATCAAACAATCATGAAAAAAATGAAATGCATAACAGTTTCCTCAAAAATATTAAGCAGCATAACTGTTTTCAACACTGATAATAATCAAAAATGTTTGAGCTGCAGATCAGCATATTATACTGATTTCTGAAGGATCATGTGACCCTGAAGACTGGAGTAATGATGCTGAAAATTCAGCTTTGATCACAGGAATAAATTACATATTAAAACATATTCAAATAGTAAACAGTTATTTTAAATAGTAATAATATTTCATAATATTACTGTTTGTACTGTATTTTTGATCAAATAAATGCAGCCTTGGTTTAAAAGCTAAAAAAAATCGTATCAATCCCAAACTTTTGACCAATAGTTTATATTTGTAAATCGATGTAATTTTAACATCTCAAATCCATTTTAAGATACAAATATGACTGGAAGATTGAAGAAGCTCAGAAGAACCTCCTGCGAACACACACCACGGCGGTCAGCGCTCGCATGCTGTATAAACTCGCACAGCAGGTGAACACACACACACACACACACACTCACTGCTAGCTTCACTGCTGTTTAGTTCAGATCTCACTCGTCTCTGCGGTATGTTTCAGGAGAAGTTCACACCAGTGAAGTACTTTTCCATCGATAGAGTTTTCCGTAATGAAACTCTGGACGCTACACACTTGGCGGAGTTTCACCAGATCGAGGGAGTGGTGGCCGACTACGGCCTTACACTGGGAAACCTCATGGGCGTCCTGCACCAGTTCTTTACCAAACTAGGTACCACACTCCTTGCTTTTTAAGAATAAGATATATGAGGGTGTGTGAAAGATTCTCCTTTTTTAAATCAGCATTATCTATTTACAATGAAGGAGGAATCCTGAATGTTCATTAAGTTTTTAATAAACATGGTAAATTACTTGGTGTTGGACTTTAAGAGATCCCTAACTTCTTTGATCATGATTTTGATGGTTTTATTTCAGGAATCACAAAATTGCGCTTCAAGCCTGCGTACAACCCCTACACCGAGCCAAGTATGGAGGTCTTCAGCTATCATGAAGGTAAAACTCTCCATATGAAGTTATACGGGTATGTAATGTGCAACGTTTATATTGCTAAAGCTAAAAACATGAAGTCTTTTGTAGCCTGCTGTGTTGTAAGTATAGAATAACTAATAATAGGCAAATTGTTAAAAAAAGAGGTGGTAAGGTAATTACTCAGTATTTTCACTTTAGAATTTTAGAAGCAAAACGATTAAATAGTGAAATGGCATTGATATTGAAGTCGACATGAAAAGGAAATTGCAATAGTCTTTTTTTTCCCATTGTGGTATATATCCAAGAGATTTTACACACAGATGTAATGTGCACAGATAGATAAATCGTTAATTATAAACACTGCAATATTCCATAAAAAAAAAGAAGAATAGTCCATTTTGATTTCATGGTGACTAAAGAACTGGATGAAAAATCATGTCATTTTATCAGATTTATTTGCCATTATCTTTTTTTTTTTGTTTTTTTTGCTCTGATTGTTTGTAACTCACAGCAGAAATAATAAGAAGTGATCTAAAACTTTAACACGGTCAACAAAAAATTCTTCATAGCCTTGCTGTGTCAACATTAAATACACAAAATACTTTTCAGATTCAAATCAAAGTTGTCATTTTTTTTATTCACCTCATAGCTGGTTGGTTTGTTTCTTGGTTTCTAACTCTTCAATGAAGACTTTTAAAAAAATCCCTATTGGAAAAAATTAATAGGAAAAATATGGTGTTTTTTGTCCTCCTGGGAAGTTCGTATTTATGACCTCCGGTGTGTTCAAGTCATTTAGCCGGAGCAAGATGCGATGTACCTTTTCCTACTAATAAATAAATCAGCAAGATCTTGAAACTAAACTTCTACAAAATGATGAATAAAGAATGCGCTTCAAGTGAATCTCTGTATATTCTCTCATAATTGTACGATTAAAACATATTTTGTATGTGCAACTTACATGCAGCTAGTTTTATTGTAAATGAAAAAAATTTTTTAATTTCAATACAGGCATTGCATCTATTGCATCATGTTTTCTGACTGACACACTTCCAACTCGGAAACCTGTGGCTTAAAGAACGTTCCGTGTTTTCCACTCATCATTATGACTTTGTGGTGGCATTCATGTGCGTTGAACTTGTAAATACAATCTTTCTGTGTCAGCACTTGAATGCACTGATACTTCCGGAAACAAGGGTGCTGGAAAACCTTTCTGATGCACTCTGTCTGAGCCAGTTTAGCATCATAAACCTTCCATCTGGCTGAATCTCTCTCAGGTCTGAAGAAGTGGGTGGAGGTGGGTAACTCTGGGGTCTTCAGGCCTGAAATGCTGCTGCCTATGGGTTTGCCTGAGGGGGTGTCAGTCATCGCCTGGGGTCTCTCCTTGGAAAGGTACATCGACACGCACCTATGAAATAGCATCGGTTGCATATTAAATCAACTGTTGCTTGATTGTTTGTTTTTCTTTTGACCCATCTTCAGACCCACCATGATCAAGTACGGAATCAACAACATCCGAGAGCTCGTGGGCCACAAAGTGAACCTCCAGATGGTGTACGACAGCCCAATATGTCGACTGGACTCTTAAATGACCACAGCAAGGCTCAGCATATAGATTGATTTGTGCTCTCATGACTCGTCTGCATTGTTATTGTCTGTTTAAGCCATAACACACACCCTGAACTACACTTTGCTGCTCGGCATTAGTTACGAGGGCCGTGTTGAACACGCTGACGTCAAAGCGGAGGAAAAGAGTCCTGTCTTTGCATGAGGAGCATGATATTGACCTTATTACAACAACACCACCTGATCTAGAAATCCCTACTGGCCTCCACTTCACTCAAAGCACCACTTCTGTTTATATGTAGGTTAATTCTTTGATTTCTGCTCCACACACACACAAATATATATATATATATGTACACACACACACACACACACACACACACACATACACATAATTTTAATTGATTTATTGTCATTTTCCACTGCCCGTTTTCATGACAGCTCTGTAAAAACAGCCACCCAGTTTGTTCTCACAACCCAGAATGCAATGGAAACTACTGAAGTCCTCATACTGTAGAAATGTTCAATTAAAAATTTTCCAAATCTACAGTTTGACTTACTATATGGTTGATTATTATGAAACCACAATTAATTTAAAGCAGCACTATGTAACTTTCTGTGTTCAAAATTTGCAAAATGTATATAATGAGAGAGTACATCATGAATTCATCTTCCAAACCGCGTTTTTGTCTTATTCCGAATCACTACGGTACACTTATAATAAGTACTTGTATTTGGACTACTGTAGCCTGGTAGGGTCGTCACCGCTGCGGAGTAACACATACCTGCGTGAATCGCCATAGACATAAACTTAGAGAAGTAGCTCCGGTTGGAATGTTCTTCCGCGGGATGTGTGCAGTTCTGTTTATTAACCGCTAGAGCGCCAAAAGTTACATAGTGCTGCTTTAAGTGTATGTGATTAAACCAGGGTCCTTTGGCTGAGCATTTTTCATGGCTGCATTATCATATTCAAGCACACTTGAAAACATTTGGTGTTAGATTTACTTTTTCAAATCGGTAAATTTCACAAATAATTACCAAGAAATGACAAGTAACACATTGAATTAAATGTGGAAATTTTAATTAGACTGAAATAGAATAAAACATTTTCATCGTTTTTATTTATAAAAAAAACTTTTTTTTTTTACAGCGTACGCTCATCTTCATTGTGCAAGTGTATTGTAGTAAATGCAGAGCTCGAGAGGTCTGGATAAGGGTCTTGAGTAATTTGTGTAAATCCAGTGAAGAAGGCTAAGCTTCATGAAGAGTAAATCTTCCTCTTGGTTAAAAGGGAGAATCCGTTTGATCTCTTTGTTTCTATGTTTGGCCGCAGGGTGCAATGTAGCGTCTTAACCAGGACTTTTTTACTGTGCAATTTTTCAGTCCATGCTGAAAGCAAAAATGCATGAGATGTTTAATGTGTAGCTATGGGGAGCAGGGACCAATGAGGTTTCACGGTGTCCTGTGGGCGGGGCTACGCAATGCAACGCAACATGTGGTTCTCAGCCGTTTTGAATCAAAGCTCCCGGATTGTCACAATATTCAAAGAATCCAAAGATATTTATTTCAGACAAAACAGCTCGTTTTCACAACTTTTTTATTATTATTTAATACATGTGTTGATATATAAAATACAATTCACTTTGTGATTCTAGAACTTTCATGAATGGTATGTTCTTTAGTAAAAACAATAGTTTTTTAAAGGAAAATCAAGGAAAAATTATGATTTCAGTTTACGTCTAGATTTTATATGTTTTCGCATTCAAATGAAAATAGGTTATTTTTGAATTATTTAAATATATTAATATTAATTAATTTAATTTAAATACTTTAAAGTTTCCTGAGGGCCCTCAAGTCAAATTGGACTGATGTTTCTGCCATCAATCGACATCCTTTTTCTCTCCTTTGGATGTTCTCTGTCTTTTCTAAGTAATATTATTTCCTGGTGGCATTGATTCTGTTTTCGCTGAAACTGACGTAAATGTTAAGCAGTATGTTTGTATCTCTGGGGGACACTTGTACGTTGATGTCAAGTTCCATGAACAAACTAAATGAGATTGGTGGCACTAATTCCATTTCTTTCAGCAAAACTCGCGGTTGGAAATGAGTTAAAGCTGCTTCCGGAAATGCTAACATTTCTTATTATCTTCAATGTTGAAAACAGTTGTCTTGCTTAATATTTTTGCTGAATAAAAGTAGTAATTTAAAACAAATACTGACCCCAAACTTCTGAACAGTAGTGTATTTTTTAATTTTTTTTTATGAATTGGACATTTGGATTTGATTGCAGGCTTTGTAATCTCTTGTGTAGTTGGCACACATAAGATTACATAAAAGCGCATGTAGAGAGGATGCGAGTTGAATGTTAAGATTGGATTGTCAGGCTCTGAATCCAGAAGCATGTCGATGAAGTTTAGACAGGACGCATTTACCATCGAAAATCAATTTAGATGATTTGAACACAACACAATCCTGATCTGAGACGGCCGTCAGCACTCAGCAGCGCATGGTAAATCTGCTGGCCCCGCTGATTAGCCTTTGGGGGAGGAGTGGTTGAGGGAATCCTCTGTGACAGTGAAGGATTACATCTTGTTTACTTGCTTAAATGTTGTAACATCTTAAGTGGCCGGGTCAAAAGTAATCCCCTATCGTTTAGAAATAACTTGTCTGAGAACAGCCCTATGTTAGCCGCTGCTTGACTCATTACCTGTATGGATGTCTGATTTTAACATCAGAAATTCACTGTTATACGTAAGACGGTAGTGTTTTCATTTTTTGCAGTATTTGTGTTTTCACTCTTATTCATGTAGACACTATATATTTGTTTTATACATGGTTACTGAACTTACTTTTCCAAGAACAACTTAAGGGTTAGCACAGTTCTTTATTTACAGCATTTGTAACAACATTGGTTAATGCTTGTCAACCAATATGGACTGTAAAAGTTTTGCAAAACAAAACAAAAAGTCAGTCCACTTCAGCAAAACATTGCATTATAAGTATATGAGGACGTTCACACAGCACACGTTCTTGTGTTGCCAAAAAAAATCTAGTCGGAGCACTACAGGTACATTCATAATGTGACAAAAAAAAGAAAATATCCATACCATAGTGCATGTTTGCTAAAACAAAGACTAAGAGTAATTGGCTAGCAACAGTAAGGTCATATGTTCGCGTCCCAGGGAATGCAAGAACTAATAAAAAACGTATTCCTTTACTACATTCTAAGTCACTTTGGATAAAAGTGTCTGCCAGATGCATACATTTAAAGCAAGGGTGTTAATTAAACACACCTGAACAAGCTAATCAAGCTCTTCAGACTCACTACAAACTTCCAGGCAAGTGTGTTGGAGCTAAACTTTGCAAAATGTTGGTCCTTCAGAAGCAGGATTGGGTGCCCTTGATTTACAAGGTAAGTTCACCTATTGTCAACCAGCTTTGTATTATTATATTGTCAGTAGCATAAGTAAATAATGTGTATTATTTTTCTGTCTGCACCTTTATTGTCAGCAAAAGTCCACCAAATGACGTAAACTGCTTTATCATGTGGACTTTTGACAGCCCCAGGGCTTTTGTGAAAACTACAAATCACATTTTATATCCCCACTCATGGATAGTTTGATTGAACCCAGTGCATTATGGGTGTACTTTTATTAAAACTCCATCTTGCCAGTGGCGAATTACCCCTGTGTTAGTGGAATAGGAAAGCCTTTAAGTCAGAACAGGTTTGTGTGCTGTTGAATAGCATGCCCTGATTTGTGCACAATAAGTCCAGGAATATGTAATAATGTAACGCCAACATTTAAAATTGATCAAACAATGCAAGAACATGTCTTGTGTGGACAACCCCATGTGGTCTCCAAAATGCAAATTAACAAAAACAAATATTCAAAGGTTTTAGTGCATCCTTAATATGGTGAATCCAAAGATTCTAGATCTAGATCCAGCATTCAAATTCAGATAAATCCAACATTTCAATCATCCAACAAGCTTCTTGAAACTTTCAAGGGCATTTGGTGAGTTTATGTTGCTTTGGGCCTCCGTCCAAATAACATTACTTTATTTTATTTTTTTTATCCTTCGCCCTGCTCATCTCTGGTTTCCAAGAGACTGGCTCACGTAAAGAGACGCTCCTTTGAGACCATCCAACACCGAGCAGGGATTTTGGGTTTATTTTCGCTGGCATGGAAAGTCTTGAGTTATGTCATTAATACCAACTGAATATATAATGCAGAGTCATTCTGAGCTCAAGTTCTTTCAAATTAATCCTCCTTTTGGGGATGAGTTATAATGATGTTCGACACTGCTCATAACAGAGCTTCCGTAAATCGTCTTACACAACAGGAAAAAGTAATATGACTCGAGCAGTCCATCCTATGTATTTCCAAAGTGACCTTTCAGAGTCCAAAAACCTCCGAAAATAAAACCGAAGAGGCTTCCAATGAAGTTCTCCGAAGACGCCATGGTTATAGGTTTGATTCCCAGGGAATGCGAATGGTAAAATGTATATATGCACTGCAAGTCGCTTTGGATAAAAGCGTCTATGAAATGCATGAATGTAAATGTTAACAGATTCATAATATGAGTTAGCATAGTATAGTCAGTTTTAGTCAGATCTGCATGAACATAACATGCACAAAGACTTTTGTCCTTGAATGTTCCTGTTTTCTGTGGACTTGACCCGTTGTATACTGTCAAAAAAAATCTTATAAAGTGGCCAAGCTTCACCTTCTTACCTTCCATTCTTTCTCAGACGTCGCGTGGGATAGTGGATGTCGGCCCAGGACTGTTGGGCACTGAGGGGCTGTTGTTGGAGCTGGATGTGGGGAAAAAGGAGGGGATGTAGGGGATGGCAGCCAGCAGCAGAGGGCTCATCTGGGGGCTCTCGTCCGACGGTAAGGGGATCACCACATCATCCTGGTCCCACACGTGGAAGGCATTGGAATGGGACAGAGTCAGAGCCGTGGGCAGACGGGTGGGTCTGATGCTCGATATGTCGTCTTTTTCTGCATCGTCTTCAGTAGGGCCAAGCACACAGTCTACCATGAGAAGCAAGGAAATGAAAGTGATGTGAACAAATACTTTAAGGTAGAAAACTTTCAGCAGGAGTGTAAAAAGTACTGCGAAATTCTACTTTTTTTAAGGTTTTACTGTATTAAAATGCAAAAATATCCAGTCAAAACTATACCTGAATGAAAGTTTCTATTTAAAAGTAACGGTAAAGGTTTTTTTTTTCCTTTGCTTTAGAGATTAAAATAGAGACGACTGTTAAGTGGAGTAGAGAGTTTCTTATTAATGTTACACAAATTGCACAAAGCAACTTATTTATTCACATTTTTCTATATGTCCTGGCCTGGAGGATCTATGCTGAAATCAATATCCTGCAAACCGTTAGAAGAGAAATTCTGAGGCATTTCTAAACGCAAGCAAAGCAAATGATGATAGTTGTGGCCATTTACTGTACAATTTACACTGAAAGGGATTTAATTGGCTTAAATGGACTACCATTCAAACGTTTTGGCTCAGTATTTTCATTTATTTATTTGTTTGTTTGAAAGGAGTTAATACTTTAATTCAGTAAGAACACATTAAATCTATCGTTCTAAAGAGTGTCTTTTAGAATGTCACGAAACATTTCTAAATGCTGTTCTTTTGAACTTTCTATTCAAGAAATCTTTCCACAAAAATTAAGCAGCACAACTGTTTTCAAGATTGAAATCATGTGACACTGAAGACTGCATCACAGGAATGAATTGCATTTAAAAATATTTAAATATATTAAATAAAAAAATTGTATATATTAAAATACGATTTTAAATTGCAATATTACTGTTTTACTGAATTAAAAATCTTATTGACCCCAAACTTTTGAAAAACTTCTGCAACAAAAACATTGTATAGATCCCTTCAAAAACGTACTATGGCAATACCATGGTACAGGGATGGTATTGGAAAGCAAATACCATGGCACTTTAAAAAAAAAAAAAAACATGGTATTTTCTTATTATCCAGAAGCACTTCAAAGAATGCCAAAACTGTCCCATTCTACAGAATAAACTGGGAAAGGTTTTGAACAGCTAACAGGTTAACCACAAGTATAGGCTGCTCTTAGTTTGAGATCTTAGCCACATCTTACCTACTACATCATTTGCGAGGTCTTTGATTAGATGTCCCACTATGGCATAGGCGACTGCAACAATCACCAGCGCGGCCATTAACAGGTACAAAACCCCCTTTGGTAAGGGAATGAGGTCGCGGGTCACTGGCTTGTAGTCTTTGAACATCGGGTCCTCGTTTGGAAAAGAGTATTGAAAAGCATGCCCAGTTTTATCCGTAAAGTTCAAACTTGTTACGTTGAGAGAATTCATTACCAGCCTTTTTTTTTTCTTTCTTCTTTTTTCGCCAAACAATCCGTCCAAAAATATCGATTGTGTTGATGTTTCTTTCACGAACTTTGAGTGTTGCCTTGATTTTCTGATTAAAAGCTCTTCGCTTAATAATAATCTGGAAAAGTGAGATAATTTGAGCTGTTAAGATCCAGGTTCATTCAGTATCCAAATGAGTTTAATTTAGTCACAATAAATATTAGAACTTGTGTCCTCGTCTTCATTGTTGAAGTTGAGTTTTTAATCTATTTATTCTTCTGTGCCTGCAGAGTCTCGCTTTAGAGAGTGAACAGAGCCTGGGCTTCGTCTTCATACAAGCCCAAGGTTCACAGACGCGTGTTGCGCATGCGCGTCCGTGCGCTGTCCGTGGTGCTAAAGCCTCTCGCTGCCCGAGAGACTCCCGGTTGACGCCAAGGTTATCAATCAGCTCGGAGTAAATTTCCAAGACCGCCCACTTTCCGCCCGGTTTGAGTCACTGGATAGAGGTAGATGATTTCCTTTCACCCCGCCAACAAAAAGAAGATAATGCCGCCGCGTCCCAAGTCCTTTAATTCGCTTAATTAAGTCGGGGATTCCGCGAACAGGGCGATCCCTCCGAAGAGACCTGTTTTCTCATTGACACTTGTTAATTCCAGTTTATCAGACTAATCTTGGCTTTGTTTTGTGCGAAAATAAATCATTGTGCGTGACAACAGCCCAGTCCGACACTCAGAGTGCCATTGATAATTCAGTTTCAAATTATTTATATGGCGCTTTTCACAAAGCTGTGGAAAAAAACAAAAGTTTTCTCACGTAAACCAAATTTTTGGCGACGTGAAAATATTAAAATATATATATTTTTTTTAATAAAGTATCTGTTTTTTAGTTTATGATAATCTATACAAAGTGATAAATCGTAGTGATAAAAACAAATGTCAATGTTCCGTTGCTATGGTTACCACTTCAGGCGAACCCGACTTCTGTTTACTAGCGATTATTTAGCAGATGAAAATACTCAATTTGACTACTAAACGGTTCAATTTTGGAGAAATTTCCAACTTTACTGCTCGTAAAGATCCAGTAGAGTAGGTAAGACACGCCAAACCTTTAAAAAAAAACAAAAAAAAACAATTCTGGCATGACTTTCATACAGAAGCATAGAATTTCATATTGATATAGCAACATTTGTGTGACTTTAGTGGTGCTATTCTTGTACTACATATTTACAGGATGATAGTCAATTGCGAAGGGACATAATAAATTGCTTAAGCTGAAAACTTGTCATTAATGTTCACAAATATTTGAAGTTAACAAAATATGTAAATGTTCACAGTTACAAAACTATGTGTTAAACTTCTAGTTGGACGTTTATTTGGATGCTTATTAGACTTGATGGAGTCTTTGGTTGTAAATAGTCTGGACTATGACAATGAAGATTATAGACTTTCCTTTTTGTTTGTCACACTTAATTTAGAGCTTTTAAAGCACTAGTTTTATGTTGAGTATTTTCAAACCGCATTGCAACTGAGGTACATGAAAGTAAAGTGGGCTCTCTGATACACACGGTAGTAAAAAAACACTTTTCAGACTGAATTCAGGATGAGGGGGCATCGGAAAATTCTTTTGAAAGATGAAAGTTCTGTCAGGATATTGTCAAATTAATTTTAAGCTACAGCTAAGCAGTATTCCTCTTACATAACCATTTGAGCTTGTGCAGGTCAGGATTTGTTGATTTCATAATGGCCCTCTTCAAAATCAGCATAGCTTGACAGAAGACCATGAGCCTGTGTTAGTTATTTTGTTGGACTACATGAAAGGCTTTTTATCTCCTCTGTGTATTTCCTGATGGATTTCCAGCTCTGCAGCTTGACCCCATGCAATAAGAATCATAAGAATAATTGTGCAAGAGTGCTTATGGGAGATGAACAAAGATGAAGTGTTTTTTTTTTGAGTATCATATTTGATGCATCATGTTTTAATGGCTCATATGGGAATATGATAAATGGGGCCCAAACTGAGGGAAAATATGCAATTTAGTGCAGTTGCTGATATTTATATGAGCAAATGTAAATATCAATATCAGGAAATTCTTAAGAAAAATCTCAGGGCCATTGCATGCACTGCAACTGTTTATTATGTGGACTTATTTTACGTGACTATGTGGGTGGTGGTTCTTGACACTGGGGCAAGTTGTCACACATTTCACTTGGGTAGGTTTGTTTTTGAAAGCAAATTTCTATTTACTATTTTAATAGAAAAAATATATATTTTTTGATTGCACATTATCTTAAAGTTTTGACTACAGTTATGGGACAATTAGCCCCAGACTCTCCTTCTTGGGAATTGTGCCTGGTTTGAGGTGAACAAAAGTTGAGCAGTCATGATATTTAGTGCAAGACACTGATGAATATGATCTTTCTGTGATAATGTGTCAGCATATGGGTTTATATCAGATACTGTCTCTCTCTCTAAACATCAGTAGATTGACATTACTTCACAACATCCTGTTCTCTTCTCTGTGTCCCCTCACTGTTTTCTGTTTTAGGATGAGCTTTTAAATTAAATCTGGCACCTGGTTTGACTTTGAACATTTGTCCACCTATTTTTTTGTGTCCCTGCTAGAAGTCAGTGTTCTGGAAATATTCTGAATTATGTGAATTTGCACTTTTTTTTTTTTTTTTAAATACAAGGGTCATTTAACATCTCAAAAACAACCAAACGCACCAGAGTAAAATAGGTATGTGCCATATTTAGCGGTGTATATAAACGAGAAAGCCTTTTAATTAGAACCTTCAGAAATGGTTAAATATTGCCATGCATAAATTTTTATAGTGAAACTTTAAAACAAGTTCTCCTTTCGTCGTGCATTCGAACTAACATGTACGAACAATGAGCATTTGTATTTTTATTAACTAACATTTAAGTAATAGTTCACCCAAAAATTAAAAAATGCTGAAAATGTTAGAATGAGAGTTCAAGCAGCTGATAAAACATCATAATAATCCACAAGTAATTTACTCCAGTCCATCAATCAATCCATAATAAAGCTTCCTCTTATAATAATATTGTCCTCTCACATCAAAGTCCACCAACATATTTGTTTAGATCGGTTTTCGATTGTGAATGAAAACATGATCTGTGCATATTTGTCTTCTGATTCAGACGACAACTTTTTCACAGAAGAAAGCAATAGAGGACTCCTAGATGAAAGCGATGGTTTGAAGTTAAAAATGTCTTGATGGATTTGTTTCTTACAAACACACAGCTTTTCACTTCACCAGACGTC